ATGGCCTCATCCTTATCACCCTCCGCCGCTTCCAGCTTAGTAATCCCATTATTCGCGAGATCGTCCACGAGGATGGCGATCGATTCGGCGTCATCCTGGTAGGAGTTCAACGCGTCGCAAACCTTGTCGAGGCCCTTGGAAGCCTCTGCGTACTTGCCCACGTCGGGGCCACCGAGGATCTTGGCCCTGGCAGAGAACTGCCTTTGCATAACGGTCAGGCTCTTCAGCGGCCTGTCGACCTTCCTGCAGGAGGCCCTCAAGGTCTTGGCCGCATGCTTGGCGGTTTTGAGCGCTTCGCGCTTCGGTGCCGGCGCGCCCCTGCTTGACCTCGTCGCCCCCGCGCGCGCCCAAGGGGAATTCGAGCCGCCCGCTCTGGTTGGCCTCCGGATGGCTCTGGATGGCGCGGCTCTTCAATTGCGTGGCGTGCCTGCCCGTGATGGCCCTGCAGGTGCCCAGGAAGGTGGCCCCGCCCCCGCCCCTCGATCCTGCCCTCCGATATCGTCTTCCCTCCCTCGTCCCCTCTGTCTCCCTCCTTCTTAAGAATTCGGGCCACTCGACGGTCCCGTAGCCGAGGGGCCCCTGGGCGGGGAGGGCGAGGGGGCGGGGGCGGGGCCACCTTCCTGATCTTCCCCTGGACGACCACTCAGAAGCACCGAGACATCAGCCAGTTCGATTCGTCGATCTTGGGCGGGTGGGACTCCAGCGTGCCTGAAGCCACCTGGTTGCGGTGCACCTGCTCGGTCACGAAGGCCCGCGCTTCTTCGCGGGTGTCAAAGTCACTGAGGTTCAAGCCGAGAAGCTGCAGCACCTGCCCAGGGCCGCGCCAATTCTCGTTCCAGCCGACCGAAGTGGCGTCGTCCTTGCTGCGCGTCTCCATCCAGTCGTCGACCCACTTCATGCTGCCGCGGGTCTTGTTCCCCTTGCAGCGTTCCACCATCGACCCCTTCTCCTCCCAGCCCAGCCGGTGGTGCATCTCCAGCGCGGCCGCTGCCTTCGCCGCCTTCAAGGTCCTTGCCAGCCTCCTGCTGACGCACGCCAGTCATCATCTCGTTCGTCGCCACCTGGTCGCGGGCGCCTTCGGGGGCGCGCTTGCGAGGGCTGCCTGCCTTGAGCTTGACCTCCCCGGCGGCCCCCGCCTGGCCCTCCGCGTCGGCCTCCGCCGCGGCCTCGTCGGCCTCCGACGCGGGGGGCGCGGCCGCGGGCGAGCTCTCGGCCACGGCAGGGGGGGCGGCTCCGCTTGGCTCTTCGCCGCCCTCGGCTTGCGATCGCCCTCGGGGCTGTCCGCGTCGCCGGCCGCGGCGCTGCCCGCGGCGCCGCCCGCAGCGGCGGGCCGCTTCTTCGGCGCCATGCCGACCATCCAGCCGAGCGCGAGAGCACCCAAGAGGGGCACGGCCGCCACGGCACGGGCCGGGCGGGGCCAGTCGCGTCGGATGCTTCGGGCAGAGAAGCTGCGCGGACGCAAATCAAGTCCTGGCCCGCCCCCCTCCCCCCACGCGTCTCCCCTGCCCGCCGACCACCGAGCCCCCCCACCCCCCCACGTCGCACAAGTTCTTACCCTACCTCATTCGGATAATGGGCCGCGTGCCGAACTTGCGGATCACTCCGCGGCTGGCGCCAGAAACGGTCACAGCGCCGCCTCGGCCGCGCCCCGCGTGGGAGACGCCGCCGACGAAGTCTTCGCCCCTATAACGCCAGACGCTTCTGGGCTCGCCGCCTTCGGCGGCCGCCTCGAGCCAGGCATGCGCTTGGGGCTTCGCTCGCCAGCGCGTGGGCTTCGACCTCGCCAGGCTCGTGTAAAAGAGAGCGAACTTGGGCGCGTTCGCAACCGGTGTGCCTGGTCCGTTCACGGACGGGGCACTGAGGGCCTTGTAGCACTCGTTGAGGTGGTGCACCCCGTTGCACACAGCCTGATCCAGCGGGCCATCAAGATCGCAGAGCTCCTCCGCCATCTCCAGGGTGAACGGGGCCATCGCGCGGCACAGGGCGCCTTGCATCTTCAGCTTGGGCGCTTTCGGGTCCCGCTTGATGACGCGCGCGCCCAGGCGCCGCAGCCTGTCCCTCGCGTCATTCGCTTCGTAGCACTCGTGGAGCTTATCGTGCAGCTCGGAGACCCTCCTCGTCACCGTCGAGCCCGCCACCTTCGTCTGCAGGCGCCGCAGCGCCCCCCCTTGGAAGTCTGCCGAGACACCCGTGAATGTCTGCGGCATGGGGCCAATCGATCCTGATGGCGCGCATGCTCGCGCACGGCGCCTGGAACAGGGGTTTCACCCTGCAGCCGCTGCGCATGATGCAGCCGATGACGTCGCCCCTCGATTTCCGATCCTGCCGCCAGGGCGCTGAAAAGCCCACCTGATCTGCGATCTCCATTGGTTTCACCCAGCACCGAAAACAACGGCCCGCCTTCTCGTCCCAGCGGGGCAATTCTAATAATTCTTTGAACATTTTCCCATCTCCGCGCATTTGCGCCGGCGCCGCCTTGCAAGGGGGCGCCTGCCCCACCATGCGCTTCCTCTTCGCGTCACTGCCCAGCCACGCCTTGTTGTCACGACGCGATGGCGGGTGTTTCCCCTGGCCCAACCACTGGAAACTCCGGGCGGTGACTTCGCAGATGTCATCCATCGCGCGCTCGCCGATCTGGTGCTTCAACAAGGCAGCCAAAGGTGCACGCAAGTTCCTCCTCTCGCCCGACTGACCTGGCAGCCTAATAATGAAGACCTCGAGGCCCACTGTGCGATCCCAATTGGCAGGGGCGCAGCCCTGCCACAATCCGCCGGAATAGCTCCCCCATCCATCTGCCGCTCGACGGATTGCACGTTGCTCGAGGCTGACCTGGTCGAGCCCCCTGCGATCCGCGATGACCTCTGCGCTCCCAAAGCGATGCAGCGTGCGCAGCAGCTCGCGCGGCAACCAGAAGGACATCCAATAATTCGTCTCCCCAAGCTGACCTCTCCTTTTCCTCGCTCGGATTTGCGCTCGGTATTCTGGCGGCCACGCCGTGCGCTCAGTGAATAAAACTCTGATTGGCCGACTTGCATTTGTGAAGGTGGCCCCAGCGCTTTTTTTGTTCGCTGCTGCGGTGGGCGAGCTGCAAGCCCGCGGCGCCCCCTGCTTCGGCGTCTCTCAAAAGTTCCGAACCTCTCCTGCCGCTGACGACGTTACTTGTGAGGAGATTTCCCACGTTGCTCCTCAATCTCTCACGTGTCGGCCCTGGGCTGGGATCGTAGGTTTTGGCGCGCTTGGGCGACGTAGGACGTCCGGGAAACAATATCTATCGTTGTGTCTGAGCCTAAACGCGTACGGAACGCGCGCGGTGCACGACCTCCTCGCGGGTTCTCGCGACAATGACCCGCGCGCGGAGGGGGGGATAGGGCGAGGCGGCGGGGGCCCCTCAGCCGAGGGGTATCCGACGGGGGGCGACGCAGGAGAACGAGGGGGGAAAGGACGACCTCCTGCGGCAACCACTGTAATCAACAACTCCGGACCGACGCGCGCACTTCGCGAAGCGGGCGGACGCGCTCTCGCATCGTCTTCTGGCGCTGGCGCAAGTCCTCCCACGCCTTCTCGCGCAGGCAGTCCTTGCGCGCGCGATGGTAGAGTGATCCCCGATGCGGTGGCATGCTTTGGAGAGGTGGTACACCGTCTTCGAAGTAGGGGTCATGAACGCGCTTCGGGGTGGCAGCACCTCGGCCACCTCGGGCTGCTCGGGCGGCGGCTTCACCGCGGGCGCCCCCGCGCCGCGACATTCCCCCACCGACATGCCCACTGCGAAATCCACGACAAGAGCCAATGTGATAAGCAACTCTGCGACCGCGCCGCCGCGCCCCCTGAGGTTTGGAACCGACAGGAATGGGGGGGGGGGGGCGCGGGGCCCCTTAGCCGAGGGGCCCCCGAGCTAGGACGGAATGGAGGAGGAGGAGGAACGATGGGGGGCGGACGGGGGGGGGGAAGAGGGAAGAGGGGGGAGAGAGACGGAGGGAAGGGGGGGGGTGAGGACGAAGCAAGGGGGGGGGGAAACCTTGAAAGGGCTCTGCTGTCCTCAGGCGCCATCTTCACTGATTTCTGACTCTGGGTCGACCTCCGGAGCCCCGGCCACGGCCCTGAGATAGGCCGCGAGTTCGTCCCGGGAGGCTGGGAGCAGCAAGAGCGGGCCCCACTGGGGCCGCGGTGCCACGCCGAGGACGACCCTCAGGAGGTAGTCGGCCGTCTCAGCCAACCGCAACTCCCAAGATGAGATTATCGTGGCCAGGCTGCGGCCACCGCGCCTGGTGCGGCCACCCCGGGCCACCATGCAAGGATGAAGGGGGGGTGGTTTTCCTCCGACGCGCCCTTGAGCCTTGAGCCAAGATGGAAAAAGGTTGGGGCCAATCCGCATGCAGGCGCAATGTCGCACCGCATTTGGATTGGCCCCCTCCCAGGTTCATGCAGGCGTAGGGTCGCACCGCATTCCCCTGAGAGGTGCAAGCACGAGCATGCTCTTCCTGCTGCTGGTGACGTCTACCCGGCCTACGCCTAAAATAGGTTCAGCACTTGTGTCGCATAGCAGGTGTGTATCCGTGATTTGCCTAATGCAGGGAGCAAGCTGCTTTGACAGTTTTAACGCCGACTGCGCCGCACGCGGCCAAGGGAAACAAACGCAACGTGCTATCACCCGAAGCTGGCTCGACGCAAGCTGTGGGAACCCCAACCCGGGGCACAGGCAACAACACTTGGACCAAATTTCCCAGCCCCTGTTTTGAATGCGAATTCGGGCACGCACGCTGCTGATGATGCTCGTGCTACGCTCCCTGACCCACGCTCCTCCTCTTCGGCAGGGCCCAGCAGCCCGTCCGAAACTTCGCGAGTTCATCGACTCGCTGGGCCATGGGAGCGCTGGCATCGAAAAAACGGAAAGAATCAAAAGGCAATCTCAGAGTCGACGCCGCTGCACAGCAGAGGCCCCCGTTGTCACTGATGGAGGGCGTACTCGACGAACGACGCAACAACGATGCCTGTGGCAATATTTACAACACCCGGAGGCCGAAGTGGTCCCTGATCCGGGCCATGGCGGGCACCGAGAAGACCTTCGTGAGGCCATCTGCCCGCTGCTCGTTCGACCCGACGTGGTCGAGCAAGAGGGTCTCGCTCTCCACCCTGCTGCGGAGGGCCGACGCCCTGTTGGAGAGTGCACGCGTCCTCCAGCTGCCTTGGCCCCGGGCCAAGCACAGCGACGCAACGTTGTCGCCCCACATCCTGGGGAGCGGCACCTGCACCATCATGCTCGCGAGGCTCGCCTCCGCGCCCTCCAGCATGACCGAGCCCATCGCCAGGGCCGTAATTTCAGCCTCCGCCGTAGATCTCGCCACCTGCGCCTGTTTGACGGATCGCCAGTCGATGAGGCACTCCCCCAGGTACACTGCGACGCCGGTCTGGAAGTACTCAGTTTCGAAGCTGGCGTCGGCGAAGGCGTGCAGCTCGAGCCCGTTCCCGTCGCCGCGCACCGCCTGGAAGAACAGCCCATGGCGGCGCGTGCCCAGGAGGTACCGCATGATGCGCTTGCCAAGGCGCAGCGCCCACTGAGGTGCTATAGTCGCACGCGCTGACATCCGGCTGACAGCGAAGGCGATGTCAGGGCGGGCGCGGCCCAACAGCCACAGCAGCCCGCCGCCCAGCTTCTGGGCGAGGCGCACGTCGCAGAGCTCGGGCTCTGCGCCCAGCTCCTCCCCCAGCGGCTCGATGGAGATGGTGCCGCACGCATTGGCATTCGTCATCTGCCACCCAGCCAGGATATCCTCCAGGTAGGCGGCCTGATGGGCCACGAACGCCCCGTCGGCCCTCGCCCCCACCTCAAGCCCAAGGTATCGGATCGTGCCAGGGTGCGCACGGTCGATGAGCGATTGGACCGAGCACGTCCATGTCGCCGTCATCACCGCCTCCACTGCCATAATCGCCCCGGGCGCGCCGGCGAGCAAGAAGTCGTCCACGTAGACCAGCGCCAGGCCCAGCGACTTCTGCTCGCTCTCGGTCTTCGTCGGCACGTCCTCCACGATGTTCCAGACGCAGGCGTCGCAGCGAGATTGGACCAAGCTGCACTGCGCGCCGTTGACCTCGAACATCATCGCCCGCATCTGCCTGTCCCGCTTCAAGCCCCAGGCTCTGGGGGCGATGCGGAGGCCGTAGATGCCCTTCTTGGCCCTCCAGACCTCGTCGCGCCCAACGAGCCAATACGAGGAGAGGATCCCCGGCGGGCGCGCCAAGACCTCCCCAGCCTCCTCCGGGAGAGGCGCATTCAGAAAGGCCGTGGACACGTCCAACGCCTTTAGCGCCCAGCCGCAGGAGCTCGCGATGGCGAGAGCGGCTCTGGCGCTGAGGATCTCCACGTTGCTCGTGAAGACGACCTCACCCGGCACCTGCTTCTGGAAGTTGCCGCAAACAACCCCGCGGAACTTCTTGCGCCCCCGCTGCGCCAGATCCGAAGCATCTGGCGCCTTGATGCCAGCAACCCCCTTCATAGGGAGCAAGTCTTTGGTTCGTACCTGCATCTTCTCACTCTCGGTGAGGGCTTCGAAGACCTCCTTCTCTGCGAAGGAGGCGAGCTCGGCCTCCATGGCCAGCTTCCGCTCGTCACGCTCGGTGCCGATAGCATTCCGCAGCTCGGTCATCGAGACTGGCTGCACGCCACTGTCCTTGATGATCTCGACGAAATCCGGCGCGCCGCCCGAGTCGGAGTCGGCGGCGGCAGCAGCGGCAGCTGAGTCAGAGGATGCAGCAAGGGCCCGGGGGGATCCAGGCGAGAAATGCGCGACCTCCGCCGCCGCCCCTCCTCCTGCTCCTCCTGGCGCCTGCTTGCTACGAAGCCGCAGCCTCCGATGGTCATGAGGCCGGTCGGTCGACGGGCCCTGGCGGCACCTGTGGTCGCACGTGTGCCCACGATGTGCTCCCAGGCAGGCGGGGCACGTGATCTCCCTCGGCGCCTCGTCCAGGATGCGGAGGGGGTTCAGGTCCTCAGACTCCTCCTGGTTGCCCTGCTCCTCCTCCTCCTCCTGGATGTTATGCTGTTCCTCGTGGCTGTCCTGCTGCTCCTGGTCGCGCTCCTCCTCCTCCTGGTCGCCCTGCTCGTTGACCTCCTGCCGGGCTCCACCTCCAGGCGCGACGTCGACGACGAAGCTCGACGAGGTCTCGAACTCCCACCTCTCGAGGCCGTTCTGGGCAACCTTGTGGCCAACCAGGGGCGCCCCGGACACGAATCGCAGATGCCGAAAAACCGCCGGGGCACAGCCCGTGGCGCGAACGCAAACTGCGGCACCTGCTTGATCCTGCAGGTGATAGGCTGCCCAAAAATCGGACACCCAATCGGCTTCCCTTGAGCCTCGCGCCGTTGGAGAGCTGCTGCGTGCACGACCGAAGCCGGCCACAGCTGCTCGCGGTCTGCCGCGTCCATCGTCATGAGCATGGCTCTGCCCCTCTGCTTGATGATGCCGATGCCCCTCTCCGCGCGGGGGTTGTTATTGGCCTCGTGCCCCGGGGTCGATGTGACTACGATCCCCTGGGTGGCGAGCGCTGCGCTCACCTTCGGGCCCGAGAGCTCCCGCGCCTGGTCAGCGTGGACGCGGTAGACCACGCGCGCCTGGAACTCGAGCTCCACCTGCGCGATCATCAGGCGCAGGGCCGCAAGCACCTCCACCGTGTGCTTGCCAGCGAGGGGAATGACGTAGTACCACGTCTGCACGCCCTCCTCCTCGACGGGCCCGTCAGCCGGCACTGCGGCCACCGCCGGCAGCGCCGAAGCCAGCGGCTGCCCGGCCGCCGCAGCGGCAGCCTGCCTCCCCTGATCTGCGGGCCTCTCACCCGCGCCTGCGGCTGCAAGCGGCGGCACCCCCGCCGCATCGCGCGCGTGCTGCTCGGCCCCAGCGGCGGCAGCCCGTTCAGAAACAGTCATTACCGCGTAGGCGCCGAGGACGAAGTACCGCGCCCTCTTGGGACGGTCCTCCGGCAGTGCTCCTGGCCAGAGCCCTGCAGGATGGGGGCCAGATATGTCCACGGACAGCTGGCCTCCCGGCCGCGTCCGCGCATCCAGCCGCCAGCGCGCCCTCGTGCGACCTGCCGCCAGGCGGCATTCGTAGCAATCGGGGCGGAAGGAAGGGTGTCCGCGCCTCTTATGCTCCTCCAAGCTGAGGCGCTGCACAGCGGCGACGACGACGTCGAAGTGCGCCGCCAGCATCCTAGCGCCGGCTCGCGCGCGCAGCTGCTGCCTCATCGCGCGGAGGCGCTGGGCGTCGTCCTCGTAGATGTACGCCGTGGCACCCTCGAGCTCCAGCTCGATCGCATCCTGGCCTGGCAGCAGCACGCGGGCTCGATCCCGACCCCACTGAAGATCGAGGCTGAGTTCGGCGACGTACGCGCCGATCGGGAACAGGGCCTGCAACTCCGTGGGGGAATGGACATACACCACCTCGTCCGCCCCCATCAGCACGCCAGCTTGCTGACCGGTCGCGTGCGCGAGGTCGACGCGCTGGCAAGGCACGGGCGGACGCTGGTTAGGCCACAGGTGCTGCAACTCATGCGTGGCCCCGGTGTCAGCCAGCAGTCGGCGACGGCCTGAGCCTCCAGGGGGCGCGCGAGCCGCGCGCAGATCCACCTGGAGCGTTCGAAAGGCAGGCTGCTGCTGCTGCTGCGGGGGAGGAGCCGCAGCCTGGGCCTGAGCTGAGGCTGCACTCGAACCCGGGGTCCCCGATGGCTGGCCCCAGCCATCCTGCCAGGCAGGGCCGGCAGCAGCGGCGGCGGCCGAAATCGGGAAGAGGCCTGCCGCCACGGCATCCCTGACCACCTGCTGCAGCGCCTCGGCGGTCATTGCAGCCGCGGGCGCAACTGCGGCAGCCGATGCTGCCGACGCAACTCCAGCGGCAGCGGCTGCTGGGGGCTTCGGCCGCGGGCACGCTGCCTTATCATGGTCCTCGGCCCCGCAGTTGAAGCACTTGCCCTCGCTCACCTCGAGCTTCCTGCGGTGGCGAGTGCAAGTCGCGCCGAACTTGCAGCAGGCCTTGCTGTCGAAGAACCGGCACGTTTCCTTGCCTCCTGTCGCCGCCTTGGCAGCGGGTTTAGCCTTCGCCTTCGCCTTCGCCTTGGCGCGGGCGTCGGGATTGCCGCCCTTGGCGTCGGGCTTGCCTTGCTTGCCCCCGCCCTTGGCCTCCTTCGCCTCCCGCGTCGCTGCCAACGCCTTCACGCCCTTCCCCTGGGGCGCGTCGCAGAGCTCACGAGCCTCGGCGGCGAGGCACCGCCAGAACTCCTCCACCTGCTGCTGCGAACACTGGCTGGCGCCCGAGATGCCGCGCTGCATCTCCCACGCGAACATCCTGTACTGGAAATTCGCGTCGGCCTCGGCCATGCCTTTGACGATGCCTCGCAACGTCGCCAGCTGCGTGACCGGATCCGGCGCAGCCATGCACAGACGCTGCAATCGAGTGAGCGAGAACTTCCAAGAGTTCAGCTCCTGGTAGCAAAGCGCCAGGGCGGCGGCCTTGTTATCGCGCCGCTCCACCTCCCTCAGCACTAGCTTCCCGTCGCGAAGAGTGCCGGGGCCGGCCTCCACCATGATGCCGAAGAGGAGCTCGGTCACCGAAGTCTGTCGGGTGGCCAGCGCGCCGCTCTGCACCTGCTCGGGAACCGAGTCCAACAGCAGCGGGCGCAAGCGCAGCTCAATGCTGAGGCTCTGGCGGTCGGCTCCGAACCACTCGGCGTTCGGCTTCACGAGCGGGCGCTCGAGCGGGCCCCGGCTGAGGTAGTACTCATGCGCCTCCCTCGCCGCGCGCTCCCACCGCTGCCAGAACAAATCGATGGAGGGATGCCACGCCCCGATCCTCATGGCAGCTCGCTGCACCCACTCCTCGAAGGCGTGCGCCTTGTTCACACCGGCGACGAACGCCAGCTTCGGCACGTCGCCGTCTTTCAGTTTCGCCAACACCGTCTCCAAGCCAAACGCGGCTCCTCGGTGCTGCTCGTCGGCCCCTGCCGATGCCGAGCCGGCAGGCGGAGGCGGCGGGGGCGGGCCGCCTGCTGCAGGCATCCATCCGCCACGCCCTGGATCACCGCCAAAACCACCTGCACCTCCGGGAGGTCCTCCGAAACCTCCTCCATCGCCACCACCTCCGTGTCCTCCTGGCGGTCCGCCTGGAGGCCCGCCTGGCCATCCATTGGGCCCCCGGCCGATCGGAGGCAGCCCAGGCGGCAGTCCGCCGGGCGGCAGCGGCGGCTGAGGCATGCCATGAGCGCCAGCTGCCGCCTCAAAGCCAGGCACCTGAACTCCGCCAGGTGCGACTGCTGCTTGGTCCGCGGCCGACGCTGCCACCGCCTGGTCGGCGTCGGGCGCGGGCTCCCCGAGACCAGCGATGGGCGGAGCCACCTCCTCGGCCTCGCCGTGCTCGCTGCTCGTCGCCTCGGCGCGCGGCGCATGAGGCATCGATGGTGGTGGAGCGCCCTCCGGCGCCACTCGCCCACCAGCAGAGGGCTGTGCACTGGCCTCTGCTCCGCCGCTCGCCTGCGAGGGCGGCGTGCCTGGGTCCAGACGACCCCCACGCACTGGGGTCCGATACCCTGGCGTTGATGCCCCACCTTGGGCTGCGGCTGCTGCTGCCGATGCGCGGTCGGCGAGCCGCTCTGCCTCCAACTGCCCGCTCCTGCGGCTGAGGCGCTGCGCCTCCATGCGCAGCTCTCGCAGCTCCGCCAGCTGCAAATCCATCGCGCTGGATGGCGGGCGCTGCAGGTCCTGGCCAGCGTCGGGCGCGTCCGCCCTGCCAGCCCTCTCAGCAGCTGCTGCGGACGGCTGGTCGGGAAGCTGCGGCTGAGCAGGCAGAGGCATCATCGTGCCTGCCGCCCACGTCTGGCGCGCTCCCGCGGCAGCGCCCACAGCCAGGCGCTGCATCCCCGTCGCTGCGGCGCCGAGGGTGGCACCCACAGCCTGGCCAGCCATCTGCGCACCAAATGCCACACTGCGGCCAACCTGCCCTGCGAGGCCGCTGGACCAGGCGGCCTGCCGACGACCGTATGCGACGTCGCGGTCCGCGAAGCAGGCGAAGCAGACTGCATGCCCCTGCCAAGGCTGCATGCAGTGGCTGTGGACGTCGGTGAGGCAGATGTCGCACACCACCGACGGGCCCACGATGACGTCCGAGCACGCCCTGCACCGCGCGCGCATAAGCGCAGCGGGCGGCGCCAGCGGCACTGCCGGGAAGCCATGGCCAAGCGGAGCTCCAAACGCAGGGTGGTAGAATCCCTCGCTTGGGCTCATAACCTTTGAAAGGGCTCTGCTGTCCTCAGGCGTCATCTTCACTGATTTCTGACTCTGGGTCGACCTCCGGAGCCCCGGCCACGGCCCTGAGATAGGCCGCGAGTTCGTCCCGGGAGGCTGGGAGCAGCCAGAGCGGGCCCCACTGGGGCCGCGGTGCCACGCCGAGGACGACCCTCAGGAGGTAGTCGGCCGTCTCAGCCAACCGCAACTCCCAAGATGAGATTATCGTGGCCAGGCTGCGGCCACCGCGCCTGGTGCGGCCACCCCGGGCCACCATGCAAGGATGAAGGGGGGGTGGTTTTCCTCCGACGCGCCCTTGAGCCTTGAGCCAAGATGGAAAAAGGTTGGGGCCAATCCGCATGCAGGCGTAATGTCGCACCGCATTTGGATTGGCCCCCTCCCAGGTTCATGCAGGCGTAGGGTCGCACCGCATTCCCCTGAGAGGTGCAAGCACGAGCATGCTCTTCCTGCTGCTGGTGACGTCTACCCGGCCTACGCCTAAAATAGGTTCAGCATTTGTGTCGCATAGCAGGTGTGTATCCGTGATTTGCCTAATGCAGGGAGCAAACTGCTTTAACAGTTTTAACGCCGACTGCGCCGCACGCGGCCAGGGGAAACAAACGCAACGTGCTATCACCCGAAGCTGGCTCGACGCAAGCTGTGGGAACCCCAACCCGGGGCACAGGCAACAACACTTGGACCAAATTTCCCGGCCCCTGTTTTGAATGCGAATTCGGGCACGCACGCTGCTGGTGATGCTCGTGCTACGCTCCCTGACCCACGGAAACAGGGCGAGGGGAGGAGGGGGGGGGGGGGCAAGCTAGGTGCGCTCGCGTCATGTCTGACATCCTACCCCTCCCTCCCATCCCTTACCATGGCGTAGATCCCCTCTCTACTCGCGCAGTCGGATGTCGAGCAGGGCAACGATCGCGAAAGGGCACGCGATGCATTGTAGAGCACGGCGTGGCATGGCGTAGAAGAGCACCGCAAAGCGCAGCATCAACCTAGCGTTGCATTGCACGCCGTGGCATGGCACGGGAAATGACGCCATCGCTGCAGCGTTGGCGCGAGTCGAAACGAGCAGAAGCGCGGAAATGAGGCCAGCGCTGCAGCGGGAGCACGATTCGGAACGAGCGGGAGCACCGAAATGAAGCCAGCGCTGCAACGGGAGCACGATTCGGAACGAGCGGGGCCCGAAAATGCAAGCGGAAACCCAACTCCCGGGAATCCTGTGCGCAAAAAAAAAACAATACGCCGGGGGGGGGGGGGTCGAACGCTCCCAGCGCGTCGTCAGGGGAAGAGGGGGAGTAGCATTCACATTGAGTAATTGTGGAAAGGGAGGGGGCGGGGCGGGAGGGGAACGGGAGGGGGGGAAGAGGGAGGGAAAGGAGGAAAAGGGAAGGGGGCGGCGGGGGGATCAGGGAGAGACAGGGCGCGCCACACACTAAAAAATGATTAGTTGTTTAGACCGCAACAAACATATCATAAACTATGAGTTTAATAGTTGTTAGTAGGCTTACAAGCAAAAAACAAGTAAAACACATACAGCCATACATAAGAACATATTTTTTATTCATGGCAGGGCCCGGGGATTCCGTCTAATGATAATGCAATATGTTATGTTCATTGTGGTTGGGCCCTGGGGATCCGCGCGCAATTGAACTAAAACATGTTATTATAATTCCCCACATCCTGAGTGGGGTTCATGTTTTCCCAGAACATCCTCTCCACCTCCCCCTCCTCCTCCTCCTCCCGCTTCCTCCACCATCCCATACTGTATCATGCCATGCCAAAACCATGCCACTCCATACCATACCTTACCATGCCATACCATGCATCCACCATCCCATACCATACCATGCCTTTCCTCACACCATGTTATGTATCAGGTTTCGTGCCCCTCCCACCCCTCCAGGGAGGCCCCGCCTGAGCGAGCAGGGCATTCGCACGCCATGTTATTTATCAGGTTTCGTGCCCCCCCCCACCCCCCCCCCCCCCCCCCCACACACACACACACCCACCACCACACACACACACACACACACCCTCCAGGGAGGCCCCGCCTGAGCGAGCAGGATATTCGCACACCATGCTATGTATCAGGTTTTCGCGCCCCTCCCACCTCTCCAGGGAAGCCCCGCCTGAGCGAGCAGGGTATTCGCACGCCATGTTATGTATCAGGTTTCGTGCCCCCCCCACCCCTCCAGGGAGGGCCCGCCTGGGCGAGCAGTGTATTCGCACACCATGTTATGTATCAGGTTTCGCGCCCCTCCCACCCCTCCAGGGAGGCCCCGCCTGAGCGAGCAGGGTATTCGCACACCATGACATTTATCATGTTTCGCGCCCCTTCCACCCCTCCAGGGAGGGCCCGCCTGAGCGGGCAGGGTATTCGCACACCATGATATTTATCATGTTTCGTGCCCCTCCCACCCCTCCAGAGGGGCCCCGCCTGAGCGAGCAGGGTATTCGCACACAATGTTATGCATCAGGTTTCGTGCCCCTCCCACCCCTCCAGGGAGGCCCCGCCTGAGCGAGCAAGGTACTCGCACACCGTATTATGTATCAGGTTTCGCGCCCGCCCCACCTCTCCAGGGAGGCCCCGCCTGAGCGAGCAGGGTATTCGCGCACCATGTGTCGCGCCCCTCCCACCCCTCCAGGGAGGCCCCGCCTGAGCGAGCAGGGCATTCGCACACCGTGATATTTATCAGGTTTCCTGCCCCGCCCATCCCTCCAGGGAGGCCCCGCCTGAGCGAGCAGGGCATTCGCACACCATGCTATTTATCAGGTTTCGCGCCCCTCCCACCCCTCCAGGGTGGCCCCGCCAGCGCGGGAGGGGCGTTCGCACACCATGTTATTTATCAGGTATCCAGCCCATCCCACCCCCCCAGGGAGGCCCCGCCTGAGCGAGCAGGGTATTCGCACACCATGATATTGATCATGTTTCGCGCCCCTCCCACCCCTCCAGGGAGGCCCAGCCTGAGCAAGCAAGGCATTCGCACACCATGTTATGCATCAGGTGCGTGCGTATGTGTGCGTGTGCGTGTGTGTGTGTGTGTGCGTGTGTGCGTGCGTGCGTGCGTGTGTGTGCGTATGTGCGTGTGTGTGTGTGTGTGTGTCTCCCTGCGTGTGCGCGTGTGCGTGCGCGCGTGTACATGTTTGCGCGCGCATGTGCATAAAGGGGGGGGGGGGAAGCTGCAGGCTCACGAGCCTGATGATCGGCGGGCCCTGAGATTCTCAGGGCTGCCGCGCAGGAAGCAAGCTGCTAACCTGATGATCGGCGGACATATGGTAATATGTCGGCCCTGACAGATTCCCAGGGCTGCCGCGCAAGGACATACACGTCGGCCCTGACATATATCAGGGCTGGGCCGCTCACTGGATGAGCCTCGAGTCGCCGTATCCGCTCTGGAGCGACGGGGAGGCACTGGAGTCGAGCGCTGCGGGCCCAGCCTCGGCAGGGCACGGAGGCGTGGCCGAAAGGCGTGGATCGATCGGTCGATCGTCCGATTGCTCGATCGATCGAGCGATCTCGATCAGTCGGTCGATCGATCGGGCCTCGGGGTCACCTGGCGCGCTCCCCGCGCGGAGCCGCTCCGCGGCTCCGCGGAGGCGGAGGAGCGCGTGGCCGCGCGTTCGGGGTGGAAGCGGCTCCCGGGCAATTATTTCACGCACCAGGTCGATGCCATCATCGACAATAAGGTGTTCCCCATCCCCATGACCAAGCGGGCGAAGACGCACGCAAAGAAGAGTCGCGTTCGCGGCCACCTTCGCACCAAGGCAGAGGGGGCGCGACCCTCGGTCCCGAGCGCGATCCCAGGGGCTGGGGGCGGGGGCCGCCGGGCCGCCGAAGTCGAGATGCCGATTCCGCCCCCGATCGTTGCCCCGATCCATGTCTGCGATCCAAGTCTGATCGGGTCTGATCGGCCCCGTCCAAGCGATCGGACATGTTTTTCTTGGCGTCGTTTCTTTCTGGTATGAGGGTTCTTGTTGGCGTAGTTTCTTTCGGATTCGAGGGGCGGGGGGGGGGGCCGGGCGGGGGGCCGGCTGGCCGGGCCCTCCCCCGAGGTCCTCAAGCCTTTCACGAAGCCGAAGGGGAACCGGAACAGGGTGAACCCAGGCGCCAACGTCCACGTGGCCGCAGCCATCGTGAACAACAAGGTCCGCGTCTGGCACTACCTGCCCACCCTGTGGTGCGCCGACGCAGCCTGCGATTTCTACGCGGGCGTCCTCGCTCCCGCGCTTCGCCGTTGCCGGAAGGGGCGCCGCGCCTTCTGCATCCTGGAGGATAACGACCCCACGGGGTACAAGAGCAAGAAGGCCGTTGACTGCAAGCGGCCCCCTTAGTTGGCGCGCCACCGCGGCGGCCGCGAGTTCGAGTCGGGCCCCGTCTGGCGATCGCCCCGCCAGTCGGCGCCCGCTCTTGATCGCCCGCCGCTCGCGCCCCGGTCGACCCCGCTCGGTCGCTCTCAGGCGGGGTCTCAAGATCACCCCCATCAAGTTCCCAAGTATTCCCTGGACTTGAACCCCCTCGACTACTTCCTCTGGGCGGAGGTCAACCGGCGAATGGCAGAGCAGAGCGCGCCGGCCAACGAGTCTCAGAGCGCTTACAAGGCGCGCGTCAGGCGCGTCGCCATGGGCATCCCGAAGAGCGTCATCAGGGCAGCCGTGGCTAAGATGAAGACGAAGGCGGCGGAGGTCGTCGTGGCCGAGGGAGGCAGGATCCCGAGCGATTGAGCCTGCGGCCCAGGAGCGTTGGCGCTGATCAGCCGAGTCGGCGGCACGGTCTTTGCCACGACGCAATTTTTCCAGCCGCGGCCGGGGAGCCAGCCGAATCGGCGGCTCGGCCTCTGCCAGAGCGGATTTTTCCTCAGTGACCGCCGAGAGATTTCAGAATTCCTGCCGCAGCGCATGCACCGAGAAACGTGTCGTGGATCCGTAGACTTGAAAATCGTAGCCGTGCTGCTACTGTTCCATCCCTGCCTTTCGGGAGGTGCTCGGCTGCCCATGGCGAGGGCCCTGCGGTGCTCGCGACTCCCGCGCTTTACGCGCGTTTGCCTTAGTGCAGGCCCGCGCGGGACACAGCCTGCGTATCATTGCGGCTTCATGTCGTTTGCACGTGTGTCCAGAACATCGTGCAACGCGTTGCCCGCGCGTCTGATGGCGTACGTCCAGGACCGCGGGACGAAGACCATGCAGCGGTTCACAGACCCCTCTATGCCGAGGCGCCGCTTGCGGCAGAAGACGGACACGGGGTACGTGGTGCCGTCTCCCCCAGTCCCGTCCGCAGGCGTGGACGCCGAGGCCGTCGAAACCAAAGCCATCCGGGACGCCTTGAAGGCCGTCTTAGTAGGCAAGGACTTGAAACACATTTCGTTGCGTGAGTGTCGCCGCCAGGTCGCTTTGAAACTCGGTTTGCAAGAGCATGCTTTGGACCAACGCAAGCACGAGTTCAAGAGCCTGACAACCGAGGTCGTTTCGGAAACGCAGCCCGACCAGGACGCCGCGTCGCCTCTGGAGACCGTGTTGGCTGAGGCCGAGAAGCTGGACTCGTTGCAGTGGGTATACTTGGTGACCATATCGCGCGTCCTGGACGCGACCCTTCCCGACGGCCGCCAGTACCGCGATCTTGGCACGATGAGCCGGGAGGACATCGGAAAAGCAGTGGCCGACGCATTCAACAATCCGATTCCGACTGGGTCCGCGGGCGGCCGCCCTAGGAAGGAACCGGACGGCCAAGCGCTCGTGCCCATGGCGGTGGTGTTCCAGGAGAAGCACAAAGACGGCGCGATCCATTTCCACGTTGCTGTGAAGCTGACTAGGTCGGGCCGTTTCCAGCAGGCCAAGCGCACTCTGTGCGAGCGCCATTTGTTGCCGAGCCATTTCTCTGGTTCCCACCAGCGAATGTGGAGCGCCGTGAGGTACGGGTATATGGAGACCCCAGCCAAACCAGATGTCGACGACGCCCCGTGGGTGTGGCAGCCAGACTGGGCCGGGTTCGCGCGCGAGAACGACGCCATCGACCTCTTCGAGATGTCGCAGGAGCCATACATGGCAGGCGTGTGGGTGAAGCGCCGGGAGGCCACGGACAAGGCGGCCGGGGCGATGGGCACGAAGACGACGTTCGACCTCGTAGACTTGACCTCGACCATCATCGCCAAGCACTTGTGGACGAAGGGCAGCCTGATGGCGTACGTCCAGGACCGCGGGACGAAGGCCATGCAGCGGTTCGTCCGCAGCCGAGTGCGCAAGCTGACGGCGGACCTTGAGGAGACGAAGGAGTGGGCGTCTGCCCGCGAGAACGCGGCCTTCGAGGCGGTGGACGATTGGACGCTCGTGTGCCGCTGCGCTGAGGAGACATGTCCCCATGGCCCGGCGTGCTCGTACAGGTCAGCCGTGGAAGCCATCTTCTCCCGCAGCGCCGCTTCTTTCGACGTTCGGGAGCTCGCGGCGTCTCTGCGGGACATTCTGATGGTCGGCCCGAAGAAGACGACGAGGGTGCCCTTCCTGGTGGGGCCGTCGAATTCCGGGAAGAGCACGGTAGTTTACCCTTTCGACGACTTGTTCACTCCGAAACGGGTTCTGCACCAGCCTGCCTTGGGCTCCTCCTTTGGACTCCGGAACCTGGCCAGCGGCACGAAGCGGTTCATCTTCTGGGGCGACTTCCGGCCGGTTGAGTTCGCCCACGAGAAGACCGCCCCCGTCTCTTTGTTCCTGTCTCTGTTCGTCGGCCAGCACACCGAGATCCAGGTTTCCCAGTCCTTCAACGACGGGAACAAGGACGTCTGCTGGAACCACGGCGCCGTTTTCACGGGCAAGCTGGAGGGCCTCTGGGAGACGACGAATAAGGTGGGTGCGGAGGACATCCGGCACATGCAGAACCGCGCGAGGCAGTTCCCATTCACCTCCGTCTTGTCGGACGGCTCTTTGCAGGACGTACTCTCGTGTGCTCCGTGCATGACCGCGTGGATCGTCCGGGAGGCGGCAAAGTTCGACGCCGTCGGCGTTTTCCGCCCGGCGCCCGCTGCGCCGGTCGGGGCAGACGCGGGCGCGCCGCCTGTGAGCGGCTTCGACGACCTCATGTCCGACGCGCGCATACCCCGCGCGCAGGCAGACGCCTTGCTGGCGGATGTCCGCGCGATGGGTGCGGTTGCCGTGGACGAGGTGCTCCCCGCGGACTGGGTCCGTCTGAATTCGTGGGCCTTGCTGCTCCCGCTCCAGAAGCGCAGACTTCTTGGGCAAAATGGCTCTCCGGTTTCGCCCTGAGGGGGCGCGCGGGCAGCGCCGGGGGCTTCCCCCCAGCGCTCCGCCCCACGTCTTTTGCATGCTCGCGAGGGTGCGCGTGCGGTTACCGCTGGCGAAGTACAGTTGGGTTGCGCACGCCCGACTCTCAGCTTTTGCGCTTCCGGAAGCGGCCGCGTGCGGGCACCGCTGACCAGGTCCACTTGGTTTGCGAGCGCCCGCCTGTCAGCTTTTGCACCCCCGTGAGCACGCGCGCGCGGGCGCCGCTGGCGCCGCCCAGTGGGGTTACGCGTGCGCGCGCGTGGCACCCGGCAGCGCATCCATCGTCTTTGCGCGGAAATGACGCCTCGAAGGGGTAGAAGTGCGAGACGAGGTAGACAGGGCAGAGTGGACGGAAGCTGCAGGGGAGAGTAAGGGGGGCCATCAGCGTTGTGTCGCCACCGGACGATTCAGCACGGGTAGCGTCGCGTGAATAGCCTCGGATTGCGTGGCGGCGTGAATGCATGCATGCACGTACGTGCATGCATGGGTGTATGCACACGTAGGGGAAAGGCATATGGATGTGCAAATAGGGTGTACATACACACTTATGTATACACGTGTATATATACATATATATATATATATACACATACAACATATAAATATGAGAATACATATATATATATATATATATATATGTGAATGTACAGCGCTGTGTCACTATAAGACGCTCGTGGGGGGTACCGCCGTTTGCGAAATAAGCGCCCATCTTAGGGATCGAAAACAAGACGTCGAAGCACGCCCCCTTTCCCCCGTATTTCAAGGTGGGAGGGCTGGGCAGTCCAACATAAGTGTCCGGTTCCGGTTCCGGTTCCGGATCACCCCCCCCCACCTCAGGCAGCGCGCGCTGCTCTGGTTCCGGTTCCGGTTCCGGTTCCGGTTAGGGATCATCCCTCATCCCTATCCCTCTCCCTGTGTCCGGTTCCGGTTCCGGTTCCGGTTCCGGACCACCCCCCCCCTCAGGCAGCGCGCGCTGCTCTGGTTCCGGTTCCGGTTCCGGTTCCGGTTCCGGTTCCGGTTAGGGATCATCCCTCATCCCCCCTCCGTCCGGTTCCCTTTCCGGTTCCGGTTCCGGTTCCCACCCCCCCCCCCTCCAGGCAGCGCGCGCTGCTCTGGTTCCGGTTCCGGTTCCGGTTCCGGTTCCATCCCTTCATCCCTATCCCTCTCCGTCGTTCCGGTTCCGGTTCCGGATCACCCCCCCCCCCTCTCAGGCAGCGCGCGCTGCTCTGGTTCCGGTTCCAGTTCCGGTTCCGGTTCCGGATCAACCCTATCCCCTTCGGCGCGTTCGGTGGCCAACATTGAAATGCGGGGCGCGGGGCGGGGATCTCGGTACTTCCACACGTGGGCGTTTATTTCGCAAACGGCGGTTTCACCCCAGCCGAGCAGCAGGAGCTCAACGCAGTCCGCGCAGGACTCGAGGAGCTCCAGGAGCAGTTCGCCACCAAGGGTCCAGAGATCACCGCCCTCACCCAGCGAGCCCGCCACATCCGCGAGATGCAGGAGGCCAGGTACCAGAAGAAGCGCAAGGACGAGGGCGGCACAGTCAGCGCACCCGCTCCCTCCGCCCAGGGAGCTGTATCTGGCGCCACCCCACAGGCCCCAGGTGCCGCGGCAGCTTCGAAGGCCGAGGGCACAGAGGCCACAGCCAACGGCAACACCGATGCCGAAAAGGCCGCCGCCGCCGAGGAGGAAGCCATCAAGGCCGAGGCCGCCAGGCTCTCGGCCGCACGCCGTCGACGAGCGCCAAGGCAAGGGCAAGGTCAAGAGCGCCAAGCCCAAGGCATCATCGTGACTAGGTTCCGAATCACCAACCAAGAACACCTGCGACGAGGCGGTGTCCAGTACCTCTACGAGGTCAAGCACTACACTCTTCCACGGTAACATCACCTGCATGGGTCAGAAGGTCTACGACTGGATAGCCCAATCTGCAGACGACTTCGTTGGTTTAATCGAGACACACATCTCCGACGATGCCAGCACCGCCCAGTGGAGAAGCCGTTTCCGCAGCATCAGAAGGAAGCTCTTCGCCAATCCAGCCCGCCCCGCCACGCGTGATCAGACTGCTGGGAGGCCCGATTCCTTGGGAGAATCTAGTGCCGCGTCTACTTACGCAAACGAGGGCGGCGAATGGTTCCTGCCTAGAGGCAACCTGAGAGCCCACCCTTTTCTTGCTGGAGTCCAAGCCAAGGGGCTCCAACTCCTCCCCTCCTCCTCCAGCCTCGATGGGTTCCCCCCCGTGGTCCTTCATTTCAAGGGGCATCCCATCGTTGCTGTTTTCTTTTACGCGCTGTGCAGCATTGGCCTACGAGGGCCGAACCTCCCTAGGTTCCGGCGGCTAGGGGGCCTCCTCAGGTCCCTCCAACTGCCCTGGCTTGTTGTCGGCGACTGGAACACCAGCCCCGAAGCTTTGCAAAGGTCAGGATTTTTGGCACGGATCCACGGAAAGATCATGT